CATGCAGGATCTGATGAAATTTGGAGTGTTCCCTCCCCAGTGTTGCATTAAAGTAAAAACAGACACCAGACGTTCCACTTAGAGCTTTCCTGCAGAACATATCATTTGTGCCTGATATTACGGTACTTGTTTCCTATTCAAGATTTGCATCTTAAGTATTTGCTTAAGAGGTTGTACGGGAAGCAAGACTCCTGGCGTTTGGACTTCCTGTTTTGCAGTGAACCCGGCAAATCGCCCTCTTGGGCGCTCCAGCGCCCGGGAGGGGTCCCAGGTGGAGATTAATGAGGGGTAAGGGGCATGTCTCCCCTAACCTTTTGAGGGTATCAAAACGGCACAACCCACAGTCGTCTGTTAATGCCTTTTTGTGTGTGTCTGTGAGCGGGGATGGAAATCTCCGTCTCCCAGATGAAAAGGCGAGGGCGCTGGGCTCATTGGCTCTGTCCAAGGACAGCCCCAGCAAGCTACCATGGCAAGCTGTGGAATACCCTTGAATTCAGACATAATTGGCAAGTGAAGAGGCACCCCCCAGAAAAAAAGATCTTGATTTATGGTGGAGGAGAAAACATTGGGAAGGATTTTTCCCTAACTAATGAAAGGCGCTGATTTATGCTTTTCTTGAACGGTGGAAGGAGGAGAGGCAATACTTTTAAGTCATGGTTTTTTCGGGATCTGTGTTATCTACCCTCCCCTAAAGCAATGGAATGCAAAGTTTTTGGGAAGAGTGGACTTTAAAGATACCTCTTTGCAATGGAATTTTTTTGCCTGTTTGTTTTTCCTAGAGTAGATGGTGTCATAATGAAGGCATGATTGTTCAGGTTGTGTTGCTCTGGCATACTACCCCAAGTGTTTAGCGACCCTTTGTCTCCCCGCCCCCCTTTTTTTTGGCATTTTATACATTGACTTCCGCACAGCAGACTTCATCATTGGGTCCAATCTGCTGTGTCAAAGGTAATATGATCCTGAGAATTCCATGGGCTGAGAGTTCTTTGCTTTGATGTGGATTTTGTATGAGATGCCAGTGCCAGTGATCCCACCCATAATCCCCTGAAATAACCACATGGGTATATGTAACCCTATGACAATTACAAAATCTTTATCAGATTTGGCTGCTTTGTTTGCTTCCCTTTCTGGTCAACTATGGAAATTGTTAAGTAACTGCAGAAGTTACAACTTGTAATTTAAAATGTCATTCGTGCTTGCAATTCTGGTCTCTAAAGCTGTTTGGAGATAAGCCAGCAGACTTCTTTTTGTTCTTCGCAATTTGCAATATGTAATTTTAAAGCTTTTTCACATTGTTGGTTTCAGAACATTTTGAATCCTGTCCTGAGTCATGCAGAGAGGGCAAAAATAGAAACAAGTACAGGCAGTTTATAGCATTTTAGGTGATACAGTGGATCTTAGCCTGCGTGCTTTAAATTCATAATTGAAGGAGAAGATCTTCTTTAATATTACCCTTCCATTGTTTTGAGAAGATAGTTGCCATCACAGATCTTGTTACATTGACATTATCAGTGATATTAGTGATAATCAGTATTAATATGGGCTTATTTTAAAAGACTGCACTGTTCTTTGGCAATCTCTGCTTAAGTCTGCAGCTGGTGTGAGCCATGTGAACAGGTGTGAACTCACCTGCCTGCCATCCAGGTGGTTTTGGAGCCCCAAGCTCCTTAGCCTCAGGAAATGAGCCCTTTCCGACGAGTGACGAAGCATTCACCACTTGGTGAATTTATTTTGTTCATTGCGTTTCCTCCCACAGGAGTCCAGGACTATCAGTTCTGGATGTAGCAAATCACCAACCAATTAAAATGGTAGAAAACAGCACCAGCAGAGCAAAGGAAGAGAGGAACTGATGACCATTCAGCCTCGGTCACTCCCTGAAAGTCCTAGTCAAAAACACATGGTTGTTTAATGTAAAAACAACGGCAATGCGGAGGGAAAATGCAAAAGGGGTGCCATCGTGGAGAAACTCTCCCACCACCTACTGGCTGCAGCACAAACAAGCTGCTAGTTGATCTCAAGGTGTTAGTTGTCAGGTATTGGAGAAGTAGCCCTTTAAGTATTAAGCAATAGCCCCAAGCCATTCAGGTCTCCAAATAACAAATAACAATAGCAACACCTTCTATCAGGAATTCAGTGTTTTACGAGAGGTGCCATATGATTCCACTTTGCCACCCCAGTTAATAATTGGGTGGTCACATTAAAAGAAATATTTATTTATTCCATTTATATCCCATTTTTCCTCCAAGGAGCTCAGGGTGGTGTAGTGGTTTAGAGCAGCAGACTCGTAATTTGGTGAACTGGGTTCGCGTCTCCGCTCCTCCACATGCAGCTGCTGGGTGACCCTGGGCTAGTCACGCTTCTCTGAAGTCTCTCAGCCCCACTCACCTCACAGAGTGTTTGTTGTGGGGGAAGAAGGGAAAGGAGAATGTTAGCCGCTTTGAGACTCCTTCAGGTAGTGATAAAGCGGAATATCAAATCCAAACTCCTCCTCTTCTTCTTCTTCAGGGTGGAGTGAAAACTTCTCCACCTCCTTGCTTTATCCTGCAAGGTAGGATAGGCAGAGAGACTGCAACTGGCCCAAGGTCACCCCCTGGCCCAGTCTCCACCCCCTGAGTAGAGATTCAAACTCGGGTCTCTCAGGTTCTAGTCCAAGGACTCAACTATACAGCTGCAAATAAAACGTTTTAAGTTCAATATACAATGTGATGCTAGGTGGGGATGATGAGCCTTATGGAAAATTCAGAGTATTTTTTAAAACACTTTTTTAAAAAAGCATTTTCAGAACGGTTTTTATATGTGTCTGGATTCCACCCAACACTCTAACCCCTACACCATACAGTAAAATGAAAATACGGTAGGATTAAGTAATTACCAGGTACAGTGGTACCTCGTGTTAAGTACTTAATTCTTTCCGGAGGTCCTTTCTTTACCTGAAACTGTTCTTAACCTGAAGCACCACTTTAGCTAATGGTGCCTCCCGCTGCTGCTGCTGTGCTGCCAGAGCACGATTTCTGTTCTCATCCTGAAGCAAAGTTCTTAACCTGAGGTACTATTTCTGGGTTAGCGGAGTTTGTAACCTGAAGCATATGTAACCCGAGGTACTACTGTACTGCTATGTCACTTTCTATCCTAATTTGCAAGACTTGACGATAATGAAGCTGAAAGCTGTTCACTGAACACAAGGGCTATACACAGCCACTATTACAAGCCTTTGTACATTAGAGAGACCACACTTAGACAGCAGGCACAGTGGGCTGGATCAAGATTAAGTTATTTGATAATTTGGCCCTGCCAAAATCAGTGTGCAAAGTTAATCATAAACAACTTAGGTCCCACTGTTACCAGAGTAACTCAAGTCTGACTCCTACTCAGTAAGCCAAGAACTCTGGACATTCTCAAGAAATATTTCTAAAATTCTATTCACTGTGCACTGAACAAGCTTAAGACTGAAAAACTGAAACCAGATATGAAGCTACCTCTACAAACTGAGGGTGGTTTAAGAAATAAAGCTAATTGTGACAAACAAATAATGCCATATAATCTAAGTATGTCTCCTGGCTAACAGATGCCTTCCAGAATTCCAATTAGAATTCATGAACAGAAAAGAACAGTTGGACACTGTCAGTGCAGATACTGATGAAACACTGAACTAATTTTTTTGCTTGCATCCTAAATTGTAATGACAAGCTCTAATCTGCCCATCATACTTTTCCTTAAGCACAGAATGCCTTTGAACAATCATATGGTTACCAGCTCTTCAACTGTGGGGATCCAAGTAGTTTATATGCAACTGTAGCAAATAGCAACGAAATTAGTGTTGACACATACTCATTGGACAGGAAGAAAGCTAGGTAGATCAACAGGAGCTGCAACTTCCAGACCATTTTCTAGGGTGACCTTACATACTGAGCTAGATGAACCAACAGGCTGACTCAGTATACAGTAGCTTTCTATGTTTCCATGCAGTAATCCATTCAATGGTTGTCTGTGCTCATCTACAGTCTGTTGTCTGTGCAGTTCACATCTTTTGACTCTGAAATGTTTACACTGTTGGACAAAACTGGTCTCCCACTGGTATAAATGCTTCTAGGGTACTTTACAGTCCATTATTAGAGGTTACTTGTCCCCCTGAAACAGTAAGCTTTACTGAGATATTTAAAATCCATTGTTTGGTAACTCTTCAATTTCCCCAGTGCATTTGTGTTTCACCTACTGAGCAGAGTTTGAAATTCGCCAGGCAGCAGGCATATTTTGCACCTGGCTGTCAGTCACTTGCGGTCAAGTGAAGATGCCTGAGCACCAAAATGGCACCTGACATCTCCACCATCTGGAGGTGCAGACCTGGGGACCCTTGAATCTTGACTGTTTTCACATACTAGCAACACATCCTGTAGAATTCTATCCCATTATTTATTATCTGCACAATCAGATTGAATTTCAGGAATCAAAAAGTTGTATTGAATAATGTGACTTTCAAGCCGTCTGGTCCAAAAATGGCAACTTGACATTCCGGTTTGCCGACTATAACCCTGGTTTAAGGAGCCATTAAGGAGCCTAGGTTATATACCTGGGTTTCTAACATGGCTCTTGAGGTAGTCACACTTTAACATAAATGGAAACCATTATTCTTTTGTATGCACTGTATGTATACGACCCATGTATGCAACCGTTGTCTCAGCAATGTACACTTTTACTGAGCCAAACTTAACTACCATGGGCATTATTTTAATCTGTTTGCATTTAGCAAGGGGGGGGACCAACCTGAGTTTAATTTGCTTGGCTTCATCTGGCTCTCAGATATGGTATATATTTAATTGTTTGGCTGTGATGGGTGAATTAAACTTTTGATCAGATTCCAGTTCCGGCCCAAATATTGATTTATAGATGTGCGACACATAAAATACAATTTTTAGGGGGCATTTATATGCTCTCCTCTAAGCAGGTTCTCAGGGCAACCTAAGCAAGGTTAACAAGATAAATATATTTTACTTTATTTGCAGGTGGAGATTTACATTTTACCTTTATATATTCACCTATGGAGCCAGACTCTTGAAAAAGGTAAGGCCCATTTGAATAATGAAATTAGTGTTAATGTCCCATTGTGCTTCTTATTATGTGTGTCTGAGAAAGGATCTTCTAGGAGGTGAACCACAGCCTCTTCATATCATGACACAGGATAAGGTGATTTAGAAATACATTACAGACAATAGCTGGAGAGAATTGTGATATGTGTGTAAGCTGCTACTCACTCTTCTTTATAATGTGGATTAAGACCTTCTCTTTATGTGCTTTGCTCCATTGGGGGGGGGATTTTTCCAGAGAACGTGGGTGGGAGACCTTATTAGCACTGGGATGCTCAAATGAAGCATCTCATGAACTGGAGACAGGTTCCCAACTTAGAGATTGTCACATGTGACAATCACATTTGCATAGATTTAATAGCTAAGCCACAACTGGCCATCAAAAAAATATCATAAAAAACATTTCCAAAGCTTAGAAAACAAGTGTGGGGTTTGGGTTGATTGGCTTGTTTCTGAGCATTCGGCACACCACTTTATTTGGGAAGTATGAAAAGCTTACAATATATTGCTCAGCCTGGCATACTTTAAACTTGCCTTCACTGGTCATTCTATGTTAAATGTGCTCTTTTATATGCCACTATGGATCCCTGTATATTCCCCTGTATATTCAAAATGAATGGGAGAACCAGCTCTTGTTCGCCCTTTGCCTGTAATCAGGTATCAAGTTGCTCCTTTGGTAGCTTATATGGCACTGTGTGTGTGTGTGTGTGTGTGTGTGTGTGTGTATAAAATTCAGGAACCATTATTTTCAGGATTGAAAGCAATCTGGGAAAGGATGGCATTTATTTAAAGAGTAGATTTTGTCTTGTTCAGAGGACGTAAACAAAACATGAACAGTTTAGCTTTCAGAATTTCTACTTAAGTGCTGCAGATGTTTTTCTATAAGCTTTATTGTTCCTAGATTTCCAGCTTGACATATATAGCAGGCTGAAGATATTAAGATTATTTTCCCCCCCACACTGAACGTACTGACTGTAACTTGCCCATATTTCACAGCTGTGGAATTAAACAAGGAGCATGATACACAAACATGATTATGCTGTTATGTTACCACTCTGGATCCCTTGTCAGTATCCCAAGCTATCAGAGATTTTGTGAACAGATGTTGATTCCGAGTAGCATTTGGCAAGATCGCCCGCCCTGTGCAATCTGCTGGATCATTGTTTGTCCGAATTAATTGTGACGCTAAGCTTTGCATACTTGTGCATTTGCCCAAAGCACAGAGTGCTAAACGCAAAAGGTTTTGTTGTTTACTTTCCTGGCAGCATTCTCATTCTGTTCTGGTAAGGGTTGATCTGTTAATGGAACTTAAGTTTTTCTAAACTGAAAGCAGTGGCTTCACAGCTAAGGATTTAACCAAGAGTAAGCCCCGCTGAACAAAGAACTTTCCTGGAGAGCCAGCGTTAACCTGCTACTCCTTATTTAGAATATATATATAGAGAGAGATGGGCAGTTACCCACTTCTGATTATTTAAGTGTGAGCTAGAGTTGCCTAACTGAGCACAGCACAGGTGAAGCAGAAGGAAAAGTTTGTGGTGTCAGTACTATGTCCTTTGCTTTGCTTTCGTGCTGCCCGCCTGACCCTGAAGCAGTTTGACTGGCAGCTATAGCAGCCCAACTGCATACCAAGACCTATATGGGCGAGATCATGAAGGAATGAAGTGCCAGACGAAAACACTGTGGATCTTATTTGTGTTCACCATGTCCTCTCCAGCCCACTGTTTTTCTGATGCTGCTCTTAAATACTCCATTTGGCAGTTATAGTGGATAACCTAGATGGATAATTTCTCTAATTATGCTGGCAAGTCATATTGACGCAACTGTGTTGGATCTCAGGTCATCCAAGAGTGCCCAGAGCGGTACAGCAATTGTTGCTTGCAATAGGCCTTTGAACATTGTATCAGTTGTAGTACCGCACTGTTATCAGTGTGGTATGAAATCATATCAAATCGCATTAAGGCATACAGATCTGAATCTTGCATCTTAATTAACATGTGAGCTAATCCGGCATCTCTCTCTCTCTTTGAACAAGGCTTTTAGGTGGAGATCTTTCTCAGTCTGAAATTATAATGTGCATCACTATTGTGAGTCGCTTCTGGAAGTGGGCTACTCTGCCAGCTCTAAGGAGCAAGGAATTTCTGTGTTCAGGTAGCTTAATAGTGCTGTAGATCAGAGGTGAACACAAGACAGGAATTGAAGAGAAGGCGAGGTGCAGGGTGGGGGGGGGCAGGGAGAGGTCAGGCAAGGATGGCTAGCCGAAGTTGACAAGATAGAAAAGAATCCCTAGAGTTTTTCAGTTCTGTTAATTGATTCAGATACTGCAAGAAACATTTGTAAGATCAACTACATGGTGGGATTCTGTGAAACTAAGCGCAGTCAGCTGAAGGAGTCCAGTGCATGGATTGGTGCTGTGAGACCAGGTTTTAGGAAAGTTTCAGAAATCAAGCTTGATACTTTATGCATCTGTTGAATCTTTCAGACAACATAGCTCTGCAGGGATCAGACTGGAAAATCAAAAAGTCAGGCAAAGATCAACCTGTTTGTAATTGTTCATTCCGTAAGAAAACGAACCCTTTTCTAATCAAGCCTTTCCTTATTAATTAATAAAATCTCTATACTGCCCTTCATCTGAGCATCACAGGGCATTTTACAATGTAAAGACACAAAACTACATCACATAGTAACAAACAAAAACAATACCGCCCGGCCCCCCAGTTTAAAAGACTACATAGATTGTTTAATTAGCCAAAGGCAAGGGAGAGAAGGGGAATGTTTTTGCCTGGCGCCTAAAGATACTAATGAAATCTAAACTGTATTTTTACCTCTTGTACCACAAAGAAAAGCAAAAAATATAAAAGCTTCATCTCTTACACCAAAATTACATCTAAAATTAATATTAACACCTTAAATAAGATATTAGAAGGAAAGAAAAAAAGGACAGAAGCAAAATTTTTAAGAGTCAGGACAGCGATAAGACAATAAAAAAGGAAGTGAGTTGTCAGGGCTGAAATCTGAATTGAACCCAGAGACCAATCAGTAACCAAGGCAGCTGGGCCAGGATTGGTATTATATGCTAGGATTGCCTTGTTCTACTCAGTAGTCTGGCTCCCACATTGTGTATTAGCTGCAGTTTCTAAACTACCTCCCACATATAAGAGTTCAGTATAACATATTTCATTTATCTAACCTGGAGCTTTCCAAAACATGGACAAGAAGTTAGACTACGCCATCTAGGTACAGCCACAGCTGGGCCATCAGCTGAAGCCAGTGGAAGGCACTCCATACCGCTGTGCCTCCAGAAACAGTAGCAGATCCAGAAGTATCCCCAGGCTATTTCTTCAGAGGGAACAAGTAGAACCCTGCCACACCTATTTAGGGAACAATGTACTAAGCGTGCCTTAGCCTTATCTGGATTAAGCTTCATTATAAATAATATAAAGGTCCTTCCTGTAATTTTGAATTTGGGTGTAGTCAAATTAGTATGATAGGTACATGATATGTTCAGCAGATAACTAGAAAAGGTATTTTGCGGCATCTTTGAAGATTGCATGGGCTAACAGATACCTCAGAGGGTCCCTGCCCAGCAAGATAGGATTTTTGTATGACTCATTAGCTACATAAGGTAACAGAGGGAACACATGAAGTTGGAACTCATCTCCTGTCATCCCTAGATGGGTGAAACCGTCGCTCTTCCACTGTTGCATGGGCTCACCACTTGTAAGTTAGTGGAATTGAGACATCTTTCGGCTTCAAACCTGCCTTCATCTATTCATTTTACAGTGGTGTCATCAAACCTTTTTGCATACATATATGCATTTTAAAAAAGTAATTTAATGTCCAAAATTAGTTTCAGCACTTGTACATTTGTACTTTGAGGCAAAGAATACAAGTGCTGCATTTTAGAATCTCTTGGCAATGGTGTCCTTGACACAGGATAAATTCTTAGAAACCCTTTTTTTCTCTTTTTAGTTTCCAGGCACGTTACCATGGTGCCCAAAGAGGCCATTTTGAGAAATTAGCAGGAAGACTTGTTACCATTCTGTGCTTAATGGATGCTTTTTATCTTGGCTCTTTTAATAGTGACGTGTATCCCGCCGAGTTATTCACCTCATTCAGTTGATCACTTGGAGGGTTTCACTGATTGTTGTAAATACATTTTAGAAACTCATGAAAATCAATACAACATAATGAACTCCACACTCTTGCAAAGAATATCTATTGTGCCGGTGGTACAATCAGTCCATAAGTAAGCCTTTGGATGCAGCAGGGGAACTGTTTTGTTAATTGCTTCTGCTGTATTTAGGATTCTGCAGCATCAAATTCAGAAAATATGCATTTTTCTTTGGAAGAGTGTTTTTTGTTGGGGGGGCACTAGGGTAGGATGAAGAAAAAAATGAGAACAAAAGCCAAGGTTGCAGGTTTGATCCCCGTATGGGACAGCTGCATATTCTTGCATTGCAAGGGGTTTAACTACATGGTCCTTAGGATCCCTTCCAACCCAATTCTATGATCCTATGACTGAAGTCAGAATTCGAGATTCTGTGGACCACATGAGATGTTTATGAGAAGCTGCAAAAGGGAGTGTGAGCCATGCTTCCTTCTTCCACCAATATGAGCCAGATCCAAAAAAAGGGCTACATTTACTATGGTGGGGTGGAGAACCTGTGGCCCTCCAGATGTTCTTGGAGCAAACTCCTGTCGTCAGTCACCACTGGATGCACTGCTTGGGGTTGATGGGAGCTGGAGTTGATCAACATCTGGAGGGCAACAAGTTCTCCATCCCTGCCCTTTGGGGATGTACATGTTCAACTGATGCAGGGCAGAATATATATATCCCTGTGATGTGAATATCTCTTCCCTTCAGCTATAATCTGGAGGTGAGAATGAGATGCTCTGGCTTCCATTTGCTGCTTCTAGTGAAAGTCTGAAGTGGCCCTTAATCTTGTCAATTCTAGATTCTGAGCAAGGAGAGATTTC